GCTATCTTCAACAATTTCCTGGACCCGGAGGAAAATGGGCAGGAACTGGAGTGGACGTGGTACCAGTAACAGTAAAGATCAATCGCAAAGCATGTTCATTCTGATCCGGAAAAGTTCAGAGATGACAAGGAGGAAACCAGAGGTATGGATCCGAGGGGTGGGGACCTTCACCAAGAAAGCCAATAGAAATCCGGAGTTACAAACTCCGGAAAATAGGGGTAAAACGCGGAGACGTTCGGAAAGTTGTTGATTCGGACGGGATGTCGGATGTAAAAACTGACAGGCTTCTGGAGAGGAACAGATGGTTTTCCAGGACCTACTTCCGGAGAATGAATCGGAGGAGCTCCGGAGTTTTGGTTCGAAGGTCCGGAGGTGGATAATGAAGCCAGGAAATGGTCAGGAATTTGCATAGGATGTAACGGAAGCAAAATTCCTATTTTCCCTTTCAGGAGACATTCCCAATGTCGGAGGAGAATCAACAAAGAATTTCCGGGCGGTGGAAGGGAAAATAGGGGCTAGAGCGGAGGAAAGAGTGCCATCCGGATTCGGAGGCAGGAACCTGAGCGGGCCTTTGTCAGAGGAATCAAAACCCGAACACTTGGCAGGAAAATCATCATGAAAGACGGAGTTCCTCTACAAGGAGGGTAGTGGAGACCAATACAAGGTGAATGCTAATCAGGTTGCGGATAGGAATGGTAGATAGGGGTCCGGACTTTGACCGGAGGAGGTGCCATCCAACATGGAGGCGGACTGGAAATCAACCAGTGGAAGGAAAACATGGCTAGTCCGAAGATAGGGGTTCCGCAAAAAAGCGGATTTGACGTCGGAGGTCTAAGGCATTTCCTGTAGTACCAATCGGAAAGGAGGTCTGCAAAATACCCTATTGATCAACGGATCATGGTGGGTGAGCAAGTATATTCTAGGTGGTACGAGGAGAATCCAAATGAGTTGAATGTTTGGGACATTCCGGAGTTGACTTTGCCAGTTCAGGAAATAGTTCGGAAACGGAAAACATCGGAGTTACAGGGAACTGTGGGGCGTCGGAAAGATAGGATTGGATCAGGGAATTACAGGACATCAAGTCCGAAAGCCTATTTGTTCTGCCACGGAGGTGACAATCCTGTTTGGTTTCAGGACCGGAGTGTCATGATACTGAAGTGGAAATGACAGCAGAGCATGAAGGGTGGAAATTGAGCATTCCGGCGGATGTTTACAGATGCAGGGAATGGAGAATGAGCTCCGGAAAATCCGGAGTTTGGGTCGGAAATAGGAGGCAGGGAATGGAAGGTTCGGAGGAGGAATACACAGTTTCCAATGGACGGAGTCGGATCCGATTTCAGGTATGATCTAAGGATTCAGTATACTCGGTAAGGTGTGAGTCTGAATATACTGTTAAGACCATGCACAAAGGGTAGGACTGATTCCAAGGGGCTTGGCTTCAGCTCGTGCGCTGCGCCCCTTACCCGAGTATGTGCCCTTAACTTCAGAATGAAGTCCGGAGAAAGTCCAGTGAAGTCCGAAGGACCTCCGGAGAAGCGTGGGAAACTTCGGAAGGACTTTCCGGACGAGTGCGAGAAACTTCCGGATGAGTGCGGGAAAGTTCCGGAGGAACTTCCGGAAATTATGATGGAGTTTCGTCCTGACGGGGATATGTATAATGGCTACTCAGGACGAGTCCTGAGTAGAAGGAAACAGAGGAAAGGCTGCAAGGACAAAGTCCGAAGCAGAATAGGTCCGGAGGACCGCGGGAAAGTTCCGGAGGAACTTCCGGAAACTCGGAGGAATGGAGGATCGGATGAGTGGATGAGTGGATGAGTGGATGAGTGGAGGATCGGAGGAGCGGAGGAGCGGAGGAGCGGAGGAGCGGAGGAGCGGAGGAGCGGAGCTCCGGCCTAGGGAATTCCTCCCTAGGCCTGAGATGGATGATTACTGAGTCGGAGGAATAGAACTGTTACGAGGACTCAGTGTGAAGACTAGTGCGAGGACTAATATGTGTATGATATTCAGACTGAGGAAATACAGGAGTATCTACTGGGGTTTATATACTAGAGGCAAGTCTGTGCAGATCAGTAAGCAGAGGGGTAAGGCTATGTACGAGCATGTGGAAATGTATTAGAAAATAAGACGGATCATAGGAAATGAACTCGGAGATGAAATGAGGTACGGAAAATGAGGAAGTCTAACTCAAGAAGGAACATACAAAGGGATAAGGCACGGAAGATAGACGCGGGTCGGATCCGGATGTCCGGAGATGAATGCGTGATAGGTCTGGGTCCGGAATGCAAGGAAGATAGACGTGGGTCGGATCCGGATGTTCGGAAGTCCGGAGACAGGTGATTACCATAAGGGGATGGGCGCTGATTTAAGGTTTGGGTTCGGACATGACAGATAGGTCGGATCCGGAGATCCGGAGATGTGGATATCAGATCTGGCATCCGGATATCAGATGCAGGAGTACAGGGATCTGGACGGATAGAGGATTGGGTCTGGAGACATGGACAGGAGGTCCGGAGGTCCGGATGAGGCGTGGGAACGTCGTCAGATGTTGGTCCGGAATGCGGGATATGACAGACTCTCGCACTGCCTGGTGATAAGTTATGACTTGAGTATAAACTGGCTTTCCTCGCTCTATGTACATATATATTGGCCAGCCTGACTCCTACATAGATAAATGCAGGACGGCCGGTATGCTAGTTTAATACCTGCAAACAGGCCAGCCTGGCTCCTACATAAGTAAATGCAGGACGGCCGGTATGCTAGTTTAATACCTGCAAACAGGCCAGCCTGGCTCCTACATAGGTAAATGCAGGACGGCCGGTATGCTAGTTTAATACCTGCAAACAGGCCAGCCTGGCCCCTACATAAGTAAATGCAGGACGGCCGGTATGCTAGTTGAATATCTACAAAGTAAATGCAGGATGGCCAGTATGCTGGTTTCATACCTACAAACTGGCCAGCTTCATGGCTACCCAAGTATATGTAGGGCAGCTGGTATGCTAGTTCAAGCTTACAAACTGGCCAGCCTTGCCTGTACGTAGGTATATGCAGGGTGGCTGAAATGTTGTTTTAAACTTACAAACTGGCCAGCCTGATGGCTACCTAGGTGGATGCATGATGGCTGGTATGCTAGTTCAAAACATACAAACTGGCTAGCCTTACCCATACATAGGTAGATGCAGGGCGGCCGGTTTGCTAGATTAAGACCTACATACTGGCCAGCCTGGTTTCTACTGAGGTAGAGATATGGTTGGCCAGTATAATCTTAATCCCACATATTGGGCCACCCCACGTCTGCCTATGTAGAAGAAAGGCTGGCCAGTTACAAATATAGATGTGAAACAGTCAGCATCCTAATACACCAGCAAGCCTTGATATTGGTATACCTACGGCCGGCAGTTGTCTTACATCTACTGGCTGGTCATGCTTTTACAATAGTATGGTAGTGTATTATACATGTGGACTACTACTATACAAGGCCGGCCAGCATGTATTCTACATAGACCGGCCGGGGACTGGCTGGCCATGATTCTACAGGGTTTTGGCACATCCGGGGCACTGGTTCTACATGGGAAATTGACTGAAGTATGTGCATTGAGTTGGCCTGATTGAGACTTTCGTCATGAATATCGGTGAGCATGTTTTGTTTTCGATCTTCTTGATGCACTGATGGTCTGGTAGTGTTGGTTGTGCAACTTTTGACCACTTAGTGCGAATCTTGGAGGAGAACCCCATCTTTGAATCGACGGGGAGGAAACCACAGCGACCTGTATGCTATCAGCTTGCGTGTTTCCTCCTTCGTTATGGGACTCGTGGCGGTGACTCCCTGCAAGCTGCCCATAAACTTGGGATTGGTTTCGGAACTGTGTTCCTCTATTGCAAGCGTGTAGTCCGTGCTCTGTGGGAGATTGGCATGCAAGTAGTTACATGGGGTGACGAGACTCGTCAGAATGAAACGACACGACGGGTTTTGGATCGCTCGGGAATTCCAGATTGCATCAGGATGCTCGATGGCTCCCTCATATGGCTTACTCAGATGCCAGATCGGAATGGCCTAACATTTATTTGTCGAAAGAAATATCCCGCTGTAAGTAACTCTCAAACACAACATTTTCTGTTAACTTACTTGATACATAGATCAACGTTCAAGCTATTGTCGACCATGAGAAACGATTCACAGCAGTCGAGCTAGGATGGCCAGGATCAGTTTCAGACGTGACAATGTGGAAGAAGTCTCACGTCTGGCAACATCGGCTTGATTATTTCCCAAACAATGCTCTCCTTCTCGCTGATAAAGGTTTATTCTTCTTGACCCTCCCGTCTTTCATGCACTGACCCTGAAACAGGCTATCCATCATCAACCTATGTCCTTCGTCCATTCACCGAACCCGAGGTCAATGGGCAGCCGCCTGCTGAAAAAACATGCCGCCATAAATTCAACAAGTGTTTGTCTTCACAGTGCATCATTGTTGAGCATACATTTAGTATGCTCAAGGGCCGTTTTCCCAGTTTGAAGGATTTGCCACCTGAACAAGATATCCGCGATACTTACCGCGTTGTCGAGGCACTTTTTGCTCTGCACAATATGTGCATTGCCCTTGGAGATGTCCCCGAGCTCATTCCGTTGTTTGATAGTTCTGACCCTGATCATGATGACACTGTGGATGATCGAGCTGATGTTGATATCTCTGACTATGGTGGAGTTGTTGGGGATGATGAACCTGAACTTCCTGCTTGGGAGTCAGATGAGTGGTTGAGGGAAGCTGGTCGTCGTCGTCGTCTCGTGATTCTAGATGATCTTTTTCCATTATGATACTTGACAGCAATTACTGACCTGCAATAGTGAAGTAGTCCAATAACACTTGACGAGCTGCCGCTTTCACCTCATCTGGCATCCCATCCATAGTCAAAATCTCTCTCACATTCCTCACCTTTGCCTCACGTTCTGCCAGTGTTACCTCGGCCTGTCCTTTCTCTACCATGTAATTATATTGTTTGTCCTCTCAGAGCTCGCGTTTTTCGAGCAGTTTCAAGCGTGCAATGTCACTGTCTGCTGTCGCCTTCAGGAACTTGACATTCGACGCGAAAAACTCAGCAGCTTCATTGCCAAGACCAGTTTGTGAAGCCTTGCATTTGTGCCGTGGTGCAGGGACTCCTTTCTGTGTCGTTGGCTTGACTTTCTTGTCACCTGCAGACAAAACTGATTTGCGTGCAGGTTGACCTGCTTTTGGCTTACTCTTTCTCTCTGTATCACTGTCGTTGCTTTCACCACCGCTGCCCTCATCGCTGCTGATATTGATTGCATCTGAGATCATGCCAGAGTGAAAATCCTCCTCTCGCACAAGTCCCGGGTGCTCGCCAAGCCTGCCAAGTCATGTAAGTAATGTTTCACACAGATTTCCAGCCACCCACCTGTTATTGAACAGTGCATACCATCCCTCGTCATACCATTTTTTCAAGGTAGCACCAGATAAGTTCCCAATATCCTTCCCAGCTGTTCGAGCATTCTCAATCTTCTCGTCAAGGACTTCAACATCAGGATCACCACCACCATTGCCAGTGATGGACTCAAAATTTAAGATATATGAAAACACTCATCGTAAGCGTTCATAATGTCCCTTGATTGACTCTGGGCTGCGTCGTCCTTTGAATATATGTTCAGAGACCTGCATGGTATGGTGTTAGCAATTATCGAGGCGAGTCTACTTTCTTTGTTACCTTTTTGAAGATGTGTTTAGCATTGCCAGTGAGGCCTTCATAGAACTCGCTGTCACCACCTAGCAGGGTTTCAAGTAAAAGTTTGGTGTCTTCGTCTGACCAATGGCTTTGTTCTTGAAGGTGAGCCATGGCTTGTTCCCCTTCGATTTTTGTCTTCGCCTTTGCCTTCCGTTTTGCAGCTGTGGCCTTCCGCTTCGATCCTTTGCTATCATGGGCTTCACTACCGGTCTGAGTTAATGGTGTGTCATTCTCAGTTTTCCTTATCTTCTTCACACTGTCATCATCTTCCAGGAGGAGGTTACCATGAAATTCCTCATGTCCTCGCTTCTGTGGTTGAGGAGCTGTAGCTGGCAAAGGTTGCTGCTGTGAATGAGCTGGGAGAGGTCTTGGATCACATGCTGCCTCGTTTGCCCGAGTTGGACCATAGATGAATTTATTCGAATCATTTGGTTGAGGCTGACCACATGCTTCAAGCACCTGGCGAATATGAGGAAGCTTCAGCTAGTCAGTATTTGTCAAGTATTATGTTCATGCTACGGGCCACTCACTTGTACTCCAGATTGCTGATTATGTTCTGGTCGGGGAATTGATTCATAGGGCTGCTCTTGTTGCAGCTGGCTGGATTTGCGATACAGAATCAGTCACATACAGAGCTTGATAAAATAACGACCTACCGTTTCGTGTCATACCAGTAATGTTCTGCATGATAATGCTGATGCCTTGCATTGTGTGCAGGCACTACTGCCCGGTGCTCGTAACTGCCCAGTGGAGCAGCATGTTGTCCACCTCCATGCGGCATGGCATAGCCATATCGTGGTTGCTCCTGCTGTTGAGTGTATCCACCACCATTGTTAGGATAGTAGTAGGCTATCACTACAGTGCTGGAGTCGTTAACACTGGCAGTACAATAACTACCAGCCAGACACATCTGGGCTTCTTTGGGCTTGAGACTAATTTACGGAGGTGGAAATGAAGCGCTTAAGACTAAAATAACTCTACTTGCAATATTCGGATCCCAAGTGAACGTGAACTTTTAGAATTGAGCAGCCCTTAAGAATCTACATCAGCAAGAGACCCATAATTTTTGGATAATTCTAATGAGAAACTCCCTTACCTGGGGGTACTTGCTTAGTCAGCAGAAACCCTTCTGACTTTCAATATTGTAGCAGGGTTTCTGACGGCCGGAGCCCACCGCCGCACTCAACCAGTGCTGTACTGCTAAAAGGGCCACAGTGTGAGTAGATCAGTTCGAGAGCACCATTTATCTGGTGGGTAGTATTAGAAATAGGAATTGCTGCATAATTCAGAAATAAGGCTTGTGTGTTGACTAAGTTTGCTTGTCTGGTACCCAATTTTCAGTATGTTCTTAGTGCTCACATGTAGTAGTGGCTGCATTTCTTTATTCACAGACCTACAACTATACACTTACTAGTACAGTCACTACAGACAGGTCTGCTAGAGATCAGAGGCGAGCGGACGAGACGGAGAGAGCTAATAGAATAGAAAATGATCTCAGTACTTGGGACAGAACTCAGTATATTTGATATATGTACCTAATAGAATAGAGTATGCTACGAGAACATTAGCTATCTTTTGACAGCTCGGAACTCTTGGAACTCGACAGGTCTGGTCACCGTGAGTCAACCATGAGTCCATGACTCAGGCTCTAAGCACAACTCAGAGAGCCCCTCGAAAATGTGGGCTTTGTTGATGGGAGGGTCACACATGGCAAAATTGTGATTGGATTCAGTAATGGATGGCAGTGGTGCCATGGCCGTAGTAGATGAGCTGCTGGAACTTGAAGTGTGTGTTGAACTTGATTGGAATTAAGTGTGTTCTGTTGGTTGAGTCTTTATCACACGCGAGGCTTGGATTTTGAATGGCAACATGATCCTTATTTGACAGCAAATAGTACGTAAAGGCAGCAGTGCCTAGTAAAATTAAATAGGGACACTCAAAGTTAGGTGCGCACTTCGCACACTGCACACTGCACACCGCACATGACCCCCTCGCAAATGCACCCCCACCCAAAATGGTAACCTTAGATAATCGTCGGACTTTGGACTAAACTTTGCGGCACGCAGCACCAAACAGTAACTGGTAGTCGTGAATTGTCTAAGGCAGCATTCCTAAACCTACACCAATTGTGACCCTTAATCCTTGCCAATAGAGTACTTTGTTAGTATGTTGTACATAAGTATTTTGATTATTTTAATCAATCCAAAGTTGTATTTCGAGTGATCACGTGATCCACATGATATATGATATAGTAGTCGTGAATTGTCTAAGGCAGCATTCCTAAACCTTACTGAACCAGTTCCAAACCTTGTCATCCCCAAACCTTATGGGCCTGTTTTTAACCTTTCTGCGCAGTATATTGTTCAGTATATAGGATGTGCTTTTCCATATATCATGTGGATCATGTGGATCACGTGATCACTCGAAATACAACTTTGGATTGATTAAAATAATCAAAATACTTATGTACAACATACTAACAAAGTACTCTATTGGCAAGGATTAAGGGTCACAATTGGTGTAGGTTTAGGAATGCTGCCTTAGACAATTCACGACTACCAGTTACTGTTTGGTGCTGCGTGCCGCAAAGTTTAGTCCAAAGTCCGACGATTATCTAAGGTTACCATTTTGGGTGGGGGTGCATTTGCGAGGGGGTCATGTGCGGTGTGCAGTGTGCAGTGTGCGAAGTGCGCACCTAACTTTGAGTGTCCCTATTTAATTTTACTAGGCACTGCTGCCTTTACGTACTATTTGCTGTCAAATAAGGATCATGTTGCCATTCAAAATCCAAGCCTCGCGTGTGATAAAGACTCAACCAACAGAACACACTTAATTCCAATCAAGTTCAACACACACTTCAAGTTCCAGCAGCTCATCTACTACGGCCATGGCACCACTGCCATCCATTACTGAATCCAATCACAATTTTGCCATGTGTGACCCTCCCATCAACAAAGCCCACATTTTCGAGGGGCTCTCTGAGTTGTGCTTAGAGCCTGAGTCATGGACTCATGGTTGACTCACGGTGACCAGACCTGTCGAGTTCCAAGAGTTCCGAGCTGTCAAAAGATAGCTAATGTTCTCGTAGCATACTCTATTCTATTAGGTACATATATCAAATATACTGAGTTCTGTCCCAAGTACTGAGATCATTTTCTATTCTATTAGCTCTCTCCGTCTCGTCCGCTCGCCTCTGATCTCTAGCAGACCTGTCTGTAGTGACTGTACTAGTAAGTGTATAGTTGTAGGTTTGTGAATAAAGAAATGCAGCCACTACTACGTGTGAGCACTAAGAACATACTGAAAATTGGGTACCAGACAAGCAAACTTAGTCAACACACAAGCCTTATTTCTGAATTATGCAGCAATTCCTATTTCTAATACTACCCACCAGATAAATGGTGCTCTCGAACTGATCTACTCACACTGTGGCCCTTTTAGCAGTACAGCACTGGTTGAGTGCGGCGGTGGGCTCCGGCCGTCAGAAACCCTGCTACAGTATTGAGAGTCAGAAGGGTTTCTGCTGACTAAGCAAGTACCCCCAGGTAAGGGGGTTTCTCATTAGAATTATCCTGATGCTTACGGTGAGCTTATGGCGCTAGTGATGGAGCAATGCAATTGGTGGAACAAAGTAAGTTACCTAGCTCAACCGCCCCCCGACAGGTCACGTGACACCGCGTGGAAATGTGTAACAATGACCACCGCTGTTGTCCTAGAAGTAAGGCTCTAACTGTTTAGTTTATGTCTACGATTTTTCGAGTAAATAGACATAAATAGTAAGTAGACATATACTACACAGTTTAAACAGTTTATAGACAGTGAAAAGTGTCAGTGTCTACTTATTAAAATCAAAGAGGCCTTGCCGGATCCATAGTTTCGCACACATTGATTGTGTCACAGTGACCGCCGCAAGGGAAGACTGCTGGTCAGTACATAGGTGCCGTGACTTCGAAAAGAGTCATTCGATGGGAGAGATAGCACCTGGAATGGCAAGAACATCCCGTGCATGAAAGGTGTGTGTATCCAATGAATGTCCATCCGTCCCAGCTGCTGGATCCACAAACTCATCTTCCGCTTCTTCATCTTCTCTATCAGACATGTTCCCTCCTACTTCCAGTGTGTTCCCATTGGTACCCTCTGCTCTCACTGAGTATTGCCTAGTCTGCTCTGGTGCTGTGGAATTGGGAGGAAGGATGCATCAGGAAAAATACCCTTGACTACACGGTACTATATAGTTGCTGTAGTACCTGTAGTCCAATGTGTCAAGTCCCTTCTACACGCAGCTACGTAGTCACATGGCTCACTATACAGTGCTATGGGAACCACTCGTAGCTTGTCATAGCAAGCTACATGCTGCAATAACTAACACTAGTAGGACCTTGTAGTAGTTTCACTTTTTTGAGCTACAGGAACCGATCTATGCCACTGACCGAAATCAACAAAACTGAATATAATTAGCACATAGCACACAAAAATGTGTATAGTACCCAAGATATTGACACGGCAGCCTCGTGAAAGGTCAATTATCACCCACTTCTACACCTCCATGACCTCGCGACTCCCCTCTCATGCTTCTCTAGTCTCAGCTTCATACTCTCGAATTGTGTTGTCAAATATATTATTGGTGAAGCCAATGGAAGTAGCCTGAGCTGCCTGGAGTGAATTCACACCAGCATGGAGTATTGCCATCAACATCAGTTACAATAATAATCAATAGTGGTCAGGAACGTACTGAGCAACATCAAGGATATTGTCAGCAGAAGTCCACTCATTGAACCGCTGCAAGGAGGTGAGATGAACCTGGTAGACGGGAGAATAGGTAGCTGCTGAGAATTTAATGTCTTCCTTGACTCTGGTTATCCACTCATCAATGCAATATTCAATCTGTCAGATCTCATGAGTCAGTCGCAACATCAATACTGGATTGTCCGAACACACTCACAGCTGTGAGTATAAGCGCAATAATTTCAACTGGTAAAGGCTCGAAATATCTACTGTGAATAACACCCTCATCACTGCGGTTCACAAACCACATGTCATTCACTGCTGACTGTATCAATTCAGTTTTGTATATGCCACATTTTGTCTCCCAGTCCTGTTACTCTGCCAGTCAGACAATCACCAATGATGGATCAAGTTAGAATGAGTGACGTGCTGTAATGAGACAACAATCGCTGGATACTACACGAAGTAAGTAATCAGCAATATAAAAATGTTGTGGTCTTGCGTGGCCTAGTCTGCTATACTTGTAGACAAGTGCGTTCGACCCGAGGGGTTCGCTGTAAGGTATTGGAATGATCAGTGATACTAAAAAGAAGATAGTCCGAAGCGCGGGAAACAAAGTCCGAAGGTATAATTACGAGTCCGAAGGTAAAAACATCGGGTCCGATGTTTTTCGGGTTTCGGGTTAGCGGGTTTCATCGGATTACGTCGGATTAGCGTCGGGAATGTAATGAATGTTGGGGATAGTGAATGGCGGGTTACTGTCAGTATTTCCGGATAATGAAAGGATGATATGTTGCGGAATTCAACCAAGAACTATGAATATCTAATGACCTCCTCCTACTCGGAGGTAGAAAGGTAAATAAGTAAGTAGGAGGCATGTAAAATATATAGTATCTATGTAGAATTTTGGAGCGCTATAGGCGAAAGTAGTAGCGGTAATTTTCGGGTCCGATGTCCTATGTAATAAGACATGTGGTACTGCGGACATGTAATAACGCGGTCTACAGTGTTAGCGATGTGAAAACAGATAACTGTGCACCTAGTGGGGATAGATACGACAGGACAGGACATAGGGAGGACAAGTGCGTGGGAAAGTATCGGTTCCGATGCGCGGGAAACGTCGGGTCCGTCGGATTAGCATCGGACTACGTCGGGTTAGTGTCGGGTTAGCAGATACAAATCGGATTGAGCGGATAAGTGTCGGATAACATTGGGAAGTGATTCAAGTGTTTGACATGCATTGGGAATTAGCTGAATATGTGCTCAGCGCAAGCCTGAGTGCTACATCGCGTATCCTCCCTAAATCATATGTGTCTCACATTTATATTCCCTGACACTCCTTTTACCTTCCGAGAGTTTCTGCGCTCTCACCCGAGTAGTCCGAAGGTCATCCGTCCCCTTCCGAGGTCTGTATACGTGTCCAATTCTCCATACCATGTCCTTTCCATGTCTGTTTGACTTTGCTGGTGCGTTTTACTTGGTTTATCTGTTATTGATTATGTCTTAGGGGCACATACATTGAAAAGCTTGATTAATACGTATCACTGCGCGCCTCGTGTGCTATTACATGCATATTTCTGTAGTGGCTCGCCTTGAGTCTTAATACATTTCAGATAGCTTATCTCGCTACTGGTTTTGCCTATGCAGATTCAGGACTTTCATGCTGTAGGATATAATCTGACTCGCTAGATACTCACACTACACTTCACTTTCCTTGCTACAAGTCATAGTTTGTAGAGTCACTTCGGATAGTCGTACTTCGCGCAATCGATCTTTTTGTTCATTTGGAACGATTGTTTGGCCCGACCGCTGCCATTTCGCGTTTTGATATCTCTTAGTTCTTCCGATAGACTTTGTCTAGTCATACCCCAGTACCTCTGCTAGTCTTATACTTCGACATATTTTGACACACTTCGACACATCCACCGTATTGCTCTCTCGGAACCTTCGCTGTTTGTTGGATGTCTATCGGATGCTTCGCACAACCTCAGACCTTTGTTTCTTGACTTCGGACCACCTTCACTCACATCGGACAAGTACTTCGGTACTTCAGACACATCTTCAGAACTCGAGATGCACTTTGGGTAACCTTTCCTGTTCTTCGATCTTAACAAGATATCCCTTGCATTTATATCAAGAGATAATTCTATAGGCAGTCTCTTTGGGACGAGCATTACACTCGCACATTGAGTTCTAAGGTAAAACATTTTGTAGCGCCTACAACAAATCAACTCTTTACAGCACTCTAGATAGATTAGAACAATACATATGAGCAAGGCTAAGACACATACTGCTCTTGCAGTCTTTTCTCACTTTGGCGTGGCCATCAACTAATTGATCAATGCTGTGGTCAACTCATGTAATCTTTGCACAAAGGAGACAACCAGATTTGATGGATTTGAATGTACAAAATGCACAAGCAACATGCTCATCTTTGTCTAAGGAACAATGGAGAGTTTGAAGGCAGAAATCACATAGAATATATGTCAGGCAAGGTCAGTGTGGGCTGTGCTTCATGACAGGTGTTTTACATGCTGGTTTCTGAGACAATTTGTGCAATAGTACCGATGTTGTCTCAGCTTGCAGTTCTTACACTCCATCATATCTTCAGCAGCTTCAAGAAGAGCTCAGTAACAATGTTTGGTTCAGCTGTTGAAGACTTTGAAGTGGCCTGCAAAGTACTGGATGACACATGTTATTTTCTGTAATGGGCCAGCAGCTCTGCTCACCTGAATAGATTTCATTGGTACAAGTACCTGCCATATCTGCACCTGGACCAATCCCAATCTCCACCATACCTGGGCCAGAATTGGCAATAATGACGGCATGAGTCACCTGGAGACGCAGATGCGCGTTTGAGTTTGAGATGAGAAGACATCTCAGAGAGAGTACCTGGAACGCTAGTGTTAAGACCGTGCACAAAGGGTAGGACTGATTCTGAGGGGCTTGGCTTCAGCTCGTGCGCTGCGCCCCTTACCCGAGTATGTGCCCTTAATTTCAGAGTGATGTCCGAAGAAAGTCCAAGGACGTCCGAAGGACGTCCGAAGCGCGGGAAAGTTCGGAAGGACTTTCCGGACGAGTGCAAGTAACTTCCGGACGAGTGCGGGAAAGTTCCGGAGGAACTTCCGGAAATTACGATGAGGTTTCATCCTGATACGGATACGTGTAATGGCTACTTAGGACAAGTCCTAAGTAGAAGCAAACAGAGGAAAGGCTGCAAGGACAAAGTCCGAAGCAGAATAGGTCCGGAGGACCGCGGGAAAGTTTCGGACGAACGTCCGGAACCTTCGGAGGATCGGATGAGCGGATAAGCGGATGAGCGGAGCGGATAAGCGGATAAGCGGATAAGCGGATAAGCGGATGAGCGGATAAGTGGAGCTCTGGCCTAGGGAATTTCTCCCTAGGCCCGAGATGGATTTTGACTAAGTCGATAGACTAGAACTGATGTGAGGACTTAGAGTGAGATCTAGTGCGAGGACTAATATGATATTCAGACTGAGGAACTACAGGACATATACAAGAGTTTATATACTAAGGAAATAACGGAAAGATCAGTAAGCAAGTGTCCGAGGCTATGTATGAAGCATAAGCAAAGTTATCAAGCGTGAGTCGGAAATGAAGCATAGGTTAACGGATCAGTAAGCGTACCGGTAGTAAGTATAACCGAGATACCAAGGACAAGGAATACCGAATAGAGGAATAGGCTGTGTCAACGTTATATGCACAGGAAATGAATTAGGAAGCTTATCGTATATCGGATCGGACCGGACCGGATGTCCGGACAAGAAGCGTGGATATACGGGATATGATATTAGGGCAATAGGACAAAGGATGAATGATGCAGGCTAGCTGCGGAGGTATGGAGGTGTGATGTACGGAGGTAAAGGGATCTGGACATGGATGCGCGGATGTGGATGTGCAGAGGTGCAGGGATCCGGATGGGTAGAGGACTGGAGACATGGATAGGGCGTCCGAAGGTCCGGATGAGGCGTGGGAATATTGTCGGATGTAGGTCCGGAATACGGGATATGACAGCTAGAAGCACTCATAGCGGGCGACAAGTGAGATTTGTCAAATGGTCTGAGAGTGAACGAAACAACTCAAGTACTGGAGGTTGTCGAGGACCGTGAATGGAAGCGAGCGGAGTGATTCTGAATGACAGTCTAAACAATTGTCTGAGAGGGTATCAATGATTTCAGAATGTCAGATGGTTAAGATTTTAAGGACGGTCAGTAGTCAGGAGGTAACCATGCATCTTGTACCATGCATCTTGTGCCATCCGTGGTAAACTGTTGTCTGCTCAGCAGCTACTAGTTGGTATTGGCCAGGTCATATCATCAACAAGGATGCTCATCTACCTTGCAGTTTCCTCCAACTGAGTCAAGGACATTCAAAAAATTTGCCATGAGAATTCCGCATGAAAAGCAAGCCGAAGCTAAGAGAAGAAGAAAGTGTGACACTTGAAGTGGGCTAAACTCTGCTGTTTGCATGTATTGACCTAGAACTCCTATAATTTTGTACTCTCTTATTTCACCAAGGACCATTCCAACCCAGAGGCATGGGGTTTCATCCAGAACTAATACCTGTGAAGGTTGATGCTGCAGGAGTGTTTCTTACATGCTTGACTGGAGAAGGTCCTATTGATACCGGTGTTAAGATGGCTAAGCACTGAGTACTAATCCACCATTTTGTTTCTAAATTTTGTCTGTAACACCTTGAAGCTCTAGTTTATGCAATTCAGATGTACAGTCAAGGCTTCAGAGAGTTTGTTTGGATCTGTTGCCTGTTCACCTGGATGTTTCATGCTTGATTATTACGGATGCCCCTCAAACCCAACCACCATCCATGTCTTAAGGTTACCATCTGAACACTTAATGTGGGTGAGCACATTATGCTATATTATACTCCTCTTGTACATAATCATGCTCCTAGTGTGCCTTGAATTGAGAGGCAGACATGATGAGACCATAAATCCTTAAAGATCTAAAACTTATGAGATGGTTACAAGAGGTGCATGATTATTGCTTCTTGCTTTCAATTCATCATTCTCACTCAAGGAATTACCACAAATAGCCTCCACCACATAGTCCAACCTACATGTTTTACAGAGCTCTTAGAGAGCAACATATCAGTCTGGATCTGCTGACGTGCAGCCCCATGATGGTACTCAAATTGATTCATGTACCCTATTATCATACTCTACAATGTTCTACCATGATCCCACATGAAAAATCTCACTGCTTGCACATCTCGTTGTAGCACTCAGCCTCGTGCTGCACACATATTCAGCTAATTTCCAATGCATGTCAAACACCCATCACACACGAATCACTTTCCAATATTATCCGACACTTACCCATTCAATCTGATGGT